AGGGCGTATGCGGTAGTAGGATGTCGCGAGTTCGAGACCACTCTTGGGCGAGCCAAGTGGAAAACCAAATATCATCTAAGAAGTATATACAACGGGCAAGTGGGTTTCCCGACCGCCCTTGCCTACTATGTTGTTGTGCTTTCTATGAGTGTTTGGGAAGTACCCCCGGAGATCGGTTTCACTCGTTGCGGACTACTACACCTAGGCCCGATCGATTTTTTTAGCCGATAAAAATCTGTTCTATATTTTCGACTTCTTTTTTCGCGTGTATCACCCCCCTTTCCGCTTGTATCACCAGTTACCAACCACCCTGTATATCGAAATTCATTTTCTTTGAAGCTTTCTAGTTTTGAAGTTTTCTATGTGATGTCTCTACGGATACGCGTCAATTTGACGCAATCGTAAAGTAAGCACTGCCACTGTAATAGATATAAACGCGATAAAAGAGTTAGTTCCTGAAAAAAGTAAACGTAAACAATGCAACGACGATACTTCGAACGTGATTTCTCGCATTTCAAGTGAGTGAGACGGTGTCGCTATTTTATGTCCTACATATTTACGTTGGAAAATCCTTATGCAGAAAAGGGATAAGCATTAGAAGAAGAAACAAAACTCGGTGTATGAATTGCAGTCGTAGTATGAAGACGTTTTCGAAGTTTCAGTTATTATTAGTCCGTACACTCGAGAAGAAAATACTAGTGCATTTTGAGCATCAGTAATATTATTGTGAAGTTGCGAATTATTGTGAATTTATTATTGTGAAATTCAACTGTTCACCGTTTTGACAAATAGCCCTTTTCATTTATACGTTCGAATATGTCTAGAAGAAGAGATAACACATTGCAAAAAATAGTCGATATAAGCGAGGAGTGCTCTAACACAAGCTACGAAGAGAATGAAAATAAGTCATATAGTCTATTTCCAATTTCTTCGAAGTTGTTCCATCGACCGCAATGTCTGTATCACGAACTGCATTCAAATTTTGAGATAATTTATATTTTATTAATTAATTAATAATTGGGTGGATAGATCGTCTACCACTAGAACCGTCTATTTCCAATTTCTTCCAAATTGTTCCATATTTAATAATTAATATTTAATTAATTAATAAATGTTGGGTGGATAGGTCGTCTCTTACTAAATCAGCCTATTTC